ATATGGTTTTTACGCATCGAATGATATCTGTCTCGATGTTGCAGCTTGAAAATTCTAGGAGGAGAAAGGATTTCTAAAGTACACCCTTTTGGCCGTTTTCTAAGAATTTCACGTTTTCTTTCATTTTTTTCGAAAATTCTCACGAAAAAAAGTCTTAGAATTCCGTTTTACATACGTGTACCGAATTTCGAATCGATTCGTCTGTAAATAACCGAGATAAAGTTGTCCCTATAGACGCTCCCCTTAATGAGAGATGCTGAGGTGTGCTAATGTGCAACGCCAATGTTTGCTAAATGATCATAAGGCCAGTCTAGCCAAGAATAGTACTAGAATCGTCGACAGGCCTATCCAGGCCTATTCTTCAATGCCGAAGATACTATACTATACTACTATACTATACTAATTTGCTCTACTAATGTGCTAAACAGCCCAGAGTGGTGTCAACAGTTCCAGTGGTTACAGTTCAGAGTACCAAGATTGGAGAAGAGAGGCGCGGGTTCGAGACCGCAAAATTCTGTTAATGTTCTGCGATGTTAGGAACTGGCGACAGGCCTACGGCCTAATATACGCTGAAACCGCTATATTATATATTATAAACTAATGTATGCTACCATGATCAGCTAACGTGTGCTAACATGCTAATCTGATGTGCCCTAACACGTTCTGCTAAGGTGTTAAACATGTTTGGCTAACATGTAATAATGTGCAATGCTAATGAGTGCTATTGTGCTCTGTTAATGTACTCTAACGTGCTCTGCTAACGCATGTTATGGTAACGTGCTCTGCTAACGTGTGTTTTGGTAACGTGCTCTGCTAACGCATGTTATGGTAACGTGCTCTGCTAACGCATGTTATGGTAACGTGCTCTGCTAACGTGTGTTATGGTAACGTGCTCTGCTAACGCATGTTATGGTAACGTGCTCTGCTAACGTGTGTTTTGGTAACGTGCTCTGCTAACGCATGTTATGGTAACGTGCTCTGCTAACGTATGTTATGGTAGTATGCTCTGCTAACGAGTTCTAACGTGCTCTGCTCCCGCGTGTCAATGTTCTCTGTAAATATCTTGTAATGTGCTATGCTAACGTGATCCACCAACGCGCTCTGTTAACACCTGCTAATGTGCTATTCCAACGTCTGAGCTAAGTTAATCTAACTTACTATAGTATGCAAAGATACGCTTTTCAAGTTTTTAATAGGAATTTAATGGTTCTTCATTGAAATTATCCAACTGATTTTCAATAATAGATACAACTCATTTTCTCAAGTAAATACAGGTTCATGATAAATTTGCATTATTCTATGTTCTGTTACACCACACGTGAGAGGTTGGTTGTTAGCAGGTGAGCAAAGGCGACAAAAAGGATGGAGGAAAGGGATGGTCTGTACTCTTAACAGGAAGAAGAATGCAAACAAGGAGAAGGGAAGAAGGTCAGGGAGGACCAAATTTTCAAGATTATTCAAGAAAACAAAGAGCGCGATACTGACCAGGCAGGCGCCCAAAGTGCCGGAGGGTGGGCTTCTGTCGTTTGGCCCGACACGCGGCCGGGGCGAGGGTACCTGTCGACGTAGACGCGGCAGAGACCGGAGTCTAATCTTGTCTATAGCCAGCACGATTGTTCGGGGCTGGTGTTGCAACAATCGTTGCAACACCAGAATAAAAACGTTGTTGAATTTTCATAATATTCGAAATTATATATAGGTTCAATTAAACAGGAGTCTCCGCATTGTGCTACGTGTGCTCCAGTCAAATCAAAAAGAGTGCATAGGGGTGGCAGGCCAATACCAATCTAGTATAAAACAGTGACGTCATATCCATGTTTGGTCATCAGAATTTTAAGACACCCCATAAGGATGGTAAATTCGTCTTTTCACAATCCGCATCCTTCAGTGGTCATACTTTGACCTAACCATACATTCATGAAATGGGTAATCATCTTAAGACAAACAAGGTAACCTTAGAAAGTGAAATTCTATTTTACCCCGACATCATACACGTTAAATGAGGCGTCACTAGTTTTTTCTGGAATGCTAAATTACGTGCCTGACTATGCAACAATGTTTTTCCTTGTCACAACGCTTGTGGGAATTGAGACATTTGGCTAGATTACTTCGTGCTCTCAAGTAGCGTGATAAAAATCACTACTGTCCGTAAGCTCTCTGCACTCAGTCGCTCGGTTCCTAGGGGCTCAAGAATTCGTTCTCTTTGACTATTTCTGTCTAAATTCACAATGAAAACTCTGACTTATGCCTTCTGGGGATGCATCGCTATTCTTGCTGCATCGTTATGTAAAGGTAAAGCAGTAATTTAATTAGTTTATTAGTTATGAATGGATTTTTCGTTGCCTTTTGGAAACTGAGTTGAAAATAGTCGCCGAAAACATCAATTTCAGAAAATAGCAGTTGTTCCTACCTCTGGGTTATCCGTTTAAAATTTTCAATGGTCATGGTCGTACGTTGAATGGTAATTAATCGCCACTGCACTAAAGCTTTTCCTTACAGTAATGGCTCGATTGGACGATACTCGATACATCACTGCGTATACCGGGCTCAATTCTACCGGCGCCCACTACCATTTCACTGGATACGTGCCTGACCTGAGCGAGATGCAGATGAACGATTCCATCAGCAGCGCTTGTGGTACTGGAATGTGAGTGCATTGCAAGAAATTTTTCAACTCCCCACATAATAGGATAAGTAAAGGTGTTAAGCTAGAATCAACACATTGTATTAGATGAGATCGAAGTTCAGATCTTTTAGGTCTTGAAAATTATATCAGGTATGCTGATTGCGTGTCCAGACTTCAGGGAAGAATATGGGCCACCGGGCTTCCAAAATAAATCTTTATACGTAAGTATTTTTGCTTCGTATGTTTGGTTGAATCTAGAAGGAAGGGTTTCACGGAGATTTGATTTTGGGTAGCCGGTACCGATGTCAAAATAAATAGTTCTTCATCAAAAAGTAAGTAATAATTAAGTCCAGGCTCGAGAATTATGGTCAACCGGACATCCGAATTAAGAATCTTCTTCTCTAAGAAGGTTTGGACAAATGAATGGAACCAGGGAAAGGTCAAGACCGGTAACAGGCGTCAGGAACGGCGAAGTTTATACTGTTGAAGAAATTAATGAAGATTATGGCAAATGAAGATCTGGCGTTCACAGAGATCGATATATACAATTATTAATGCGATATATATGAGTATTAATGCGTATGCGAGTACTGGCGCACGGCCAAATCTACCATTCGGAGTTAGTGTGTAACAGACGCCACAACTGCAAGTCTATAATGCAAGGAATGAAACCTTATAACAATGAGGAGTGTAAAGTAGGATGAAGGTTCACTAGAAAAGACAGGCAAGACACTTGGAGGTTTATTTGCACGATAAAAGGTTAGAGAGAGAATGGAACCATAAACTTCAATTTGCCTTTACTAGACCCTAAGCAAATGACCGTTTATTTACATCCACACTTAAACGACCCGAATTGAGGTTTTCCGCAAATGTAAGCCTGGCGAGCCTAAGACAAATCCTTCCTAGTTAATATATGGGAAATAAACAAATACATCGAGCTAGCACCACTTTCACATAAAATTACAAAATACTAAAATTACAGTCTTTTCGGGCATTAAGAGCTTGTTATAGTCGCTGCAGATGCGTAGGACAAGCGTCATGTATGATGTAGGTAGCAGGTAAAGCGTAAGATGTTTAACAGGGTGGGCTGCCGGTACATATCTAAGGTGAATTGGAGGTGCGCTACCTCCTAACTTGGCAGCAACTATAAAGGCAGCAATGTTTTCGAAAGTGGTAATTTCTTGCAGCATCGTTTAAATTAAATAAATAGAAATACCCCCTCTACTTCTGGAACGCGCTGTGCCCGACAGCTGAATCCGGTCCTTAATTTATTTGCCTCGCCTCCAGTCTGCATACCGTCATCTCCACTCGACGGAAATCGCTGTGCTAAAAGTGCCTTCTGACATTCTGCGAGCTCTAGATTGCGGTGACATTGCGGCATCGGCTTTACTCGACTGCATTTGACAAAGGCGACCACGCCACTTTATTGCGTCGACTTGACGTATCATTCGGCCTGCGCGGCACAGTGCTGCGGTGGTTCGAGCCCTATATCAGAAAAAGATTTCAATCCGTTCGACGCGGTCACTCTTCTTCTACGCCATCGTTGGTCACTTGCGGCGGCGTAGCACAGGGGTCAGTCCTCGGCATGATTCTTTTCTTGTTGTATATTGTCAACGTGATTCAAATTCAAAATACATAGTCAATTGATTCAAATAGTTTGAATAAGTATATTTGCCATAACTGAATTATATATTAATTTTATCAACGACACCCAAATTCTTGGCTACTGTGCGGCTGACGATACAGGCTTGCAGGACCGGGTGTCCGTCAGCATGGACGCCGTCTCAGACTGGATTCGTTCCAACCGGCTCCAGCTCAATGCATCAAAAACCAAATTTATTTGTTTTGCGACTGCTCGGCGCCAGCATCAGCTTCCGTCCAGCCCTGAGCAACGAGTTCGCCACGCCTGCGTCTCCGTTTCGCTACCTCGGCAATCAGCTGGACTCAGTACTTTCTGTAAACAATTACATTGCCATCGCTTGTTTTGATTACAATTCACCAATTACAAGTTAATTACAAGTCGCCACGCTTGTTTAGACTCTCTGCAACGAATTCATAGCGTCAGCCGCTGTCTCTCGAGGGCGGTCTTCGAAGCCTTCGTGGTGGTGCTTATTCTAACCAGATTGAACTATGTCAATGCCACACTATATGGACTTCCGATGGGAGCGCAGCCGTGCACCACCAATTTTGTCCACCAATAAGCCCTGAATCGAACGCCTTGGATCTCTCCGGACCTACACCAATCAGCCGTGCACCACTCGGCTTTGTCCTCCTCCGGCCTTGACCATCACCTGCCGTGCACCACCAGGCCGCGGATAGAATCTGACTTCCGGGCATCATTAAATTACGTAATTTTACGTTCACCGCATCTGAGGTTAGGTTTCAGATAGCATAGTACTGTTCCAAAATTTATCGTCCTTCGACAAGTGGCCGTTCGACCGAGGGCTGGTTCGACTAGATACGGACGGCTTGAAGTGTTGAAGGCTACGTTCCGGAAGGCAGGAATCATGATGGTCCATTACATCCAGGGCAGTTGTGGTCTTCGGCAGGCGACCTCTTCCGATCGCGCCACTCACCAAACTGCAATCTGTGATCAACTCTGTTACGCGACTCGTGTGCGATTAGCGAAAATTCAATCACGTGACGCGATATTACGCGAACTTCACTGGCTACACGCCAACTTTACTGGCTGCAGCAGCGCACGCAGTTCAAGGTCGCTGTTCTGACGTTCCGACGCCTTCACGGTCTGGCGCCTCCTCATTTCATGGAAGGCCTGCAGCGCGTGTCGGTTCTGCTTTCCAGAAGGCGATTGCGTTTGTCATCAACAGCGGACCTCGTCGCACCATCTACACGTCTATCTCCCGCCGGTGACAAAGCGTTCCCGGTCGCCGCCGCCAGAACCTGGAACAGTCTGCCGGCTTCCGTAACATTCGGCCCCTTCGTTGCCAGGGTTTCGTCGACGCCTATATTAAGTTGGGAATATTTCGTGGAGCCAATAAATATTGTGCTTAAACATATTTTTCCCTTAGCACCATTTCTCAAGTCTTTATAGTTTTTGCTTGCTGTCAAACTTATGTGTTATGTGCCCAAGAAGTTTGTTTGAGCCAACCGACAAAATAATTGCTTCGTAGAATAATAACAATGACAATAATAAATGCACAATAATCAATCGTAATGCTTCGATCTGGAAGTAAAATAAGTTATATTATTCTATTCTGATCAACAGTTCATAGGCGTACTTGTGAAATTATTTTGGGCGAAGATCGTTTTTAGTACTGATTGTATTCCAAGAAAATATTATTTTATACTTTTTCACAGTAAAAAACCTTATTATTCAGAATATATCAAGTGTGTGAAAAATTTTTATTTTGACTGAGCTCGAATCAGTAGATTTCGTAGATCTCACTAATTGAATGTTAAAAATTATCAAAATGTAACTTCAAAATCCGCAAGAATAATGATTTGGTTCATTCAAATGTTATTCAAATTTACAGTTGGATACTCTACGACGGCATGAACTACTCTTCAAACCCCACAGGTTACTTTTGCTCTACTCCTGCAGTGAGCAAGTGCTGGAATTATAAGGACGTCTGCCAAAAGGTGATCAGAAAATTTTTGGAACTTGCGAAGCTCTTTACTATAGCTCCGATATCACAACGATGTTTTTTGAATGAATATATGAGTACTTTTTGAGCTGGTTAGTCAATTTAGACGATATCCAACTCAATCCCAAAACGAGTTAATTACTTTCGCCATCAACTGTTTGTTCTCAATTCTAAATACTGATCTGATTCAAGTCCATTCTAAAATACCAATTACACAGGGATCGTCGCTCAGATACGCTGGTAGTCCGTATGGCCTCAATGACGACTATTACAATCTTTATGAAGACAATGACTTCCACGGCAAAGAATTCAAGGGCAACACTAACGCCGCTGACTTGGGCGACTTGGATCAGGCAGTCTCTTCTCTAATAGTTATAGGACAGTCAGCCTGGACCTTCTATAGGTGAGTCCAGCTATTCAGCCGGTAATTAGTTTCTCATTTGTTTTTCGCAAAAGAAAAAATTTCAAATTTATTTAGACAATTTTAATACACATTTATTTAGACAATTTTAAACTCTCATTGTTACAAAAGTCGAAGTATTTGTTAATAATTTGAATCACATGATATTTATACGTTCGCTTTGATAAAGGAAATACTTGAACCAACAGTGGCCAGGATTTTACTGGAGTCAGCGTGTGCGTCTACACAAACGCCACAGTCACTAACGCTGACATTGAACTCGACTTCATTATTCTAGTAATCCTTCAGGAACCTTGTACAAAGACTGATGATGTTCATCTGAATTTATTATATGCATTAAAACTCGTCCATTGAGCAAAATGTACCTAGTGGTTAATTTCGAAGGACCAGCTATGAAACGCCTCGTTTACCTACAGTTATGCCTCGGTTATTAGTTCAAGTACAAAACAAAACCGAATTTATTATTATTTCCTTGAGACTAAATTCTTACAAACTGCTAGCACCTTAGTTTTTATGACCGAACGAAATTTTCTCCATGATTTCTAAACGAATACTCGGTTATGACGTCATGAATACATTACAGGCATCCAAATTCCAGACGATCTCAGGACATTCATAATTACGTTTTGCTCAAGAAATTTTCATTTAATATAAAAATTTCCTTTGCATCAAATTGAAAATCTCTATAATAGAATGTAATTGTAAATTGGGTCAGATCGTTCAACATTTTTAGCGCATTTTCTCATTTATGGAAAAAAGGCGCTATTCGCCATGCCGTCCGTCCTACTGTCCGTACGTGACGTACGGACAGTAGGACGTACGTCGTCACGTTTTCGTCGACGAGAAAATGCATTCTCTGTCACTCACTGCAGTGAGTAATGAGTTATATTTTTTATCGCATTCTCCATACATAATTAAAGGTGTGCCCTGCAGATGGACATGCTCGGTCTGCCCGACAACTCGATCAGGTCCGTGGCGAGGGGGTGCTTGGGCGAGCTCGTGGCTGGGGCAGAGCCTGCAGTTCCAGGCCCCAGACTGAACTGACGTGCGTGTCTGCGGTTACTCGTACATACAGGCATCCAACGTTAAAATACCGTCGAATAAACGTTGTTTCAACGCTCAACGTTCTTTCTACTTCATATGACTTCAAGAACAGATGTACGGATGTTCAGCGTCCAGTAAACGGCGTTCCAACGTCTAATTGAGGTTTAAAAGTAAAGAAAATAGCCAAAAATTTCACCATTTCTTATAAGAGAAAACGTTTCGGAGTCCAGCTCCATCGTCAGTTCAAAACCTAGAACACAGGTACAAACAATTAGTAACCTAAAATTCACATTCAAACAATTCACCTAAACTTGAGGACATTAGAACTATAATCGAAGATAACAGAAGATGTGTATAAGAGACAGGGCCTGTGCTGTGACTGTTCCACTAACAGGAGCGACTCGCGATTTACTGAGGCTACTATGTCATCCGTTAACCCTAGAGTCACAGGTATTGCCAGAGACTGACCAGGGTCAACCTTAACTGAAGTCAAGGTTATGCATTGTACATGGCGTAAGGACGAGGTTAGCTCACCCTCACTGTTTGCATAAAAGTCAACTGCAGCACCACCTTCATGGTGCTTGGTTAGCCGCCNTTTTTCAGAATGGTGCGCTGAAAGCAGAAATCAGTCAACAGTTATAGCCAACTTAAGCCAAGAAAGGGAGAACTGCTACGAGACTTACGCGATGGAGATTGGAGCCATTTACAGGAGATATGAAAGTAGATTACTGGATGCATCATGCAACTATTCAGGAATGATTACGATTTACGAATAAATATTACTTACTAAGTTAGTAAAGTTACTATGCTCATAAAATGACGACTAGCTTAGTCAGTTATCACTTATCAGTAATCCACTTGAGGAGAAACTGAAGATCAGAGTAAGAACCTGTCTCTTATACACATCTAGATGTGTATAAGAGACCGGTTCAGACCCATGACAAGTTCATTGACACCTGCTACTCGGCTGATCTATTAACGGACGTGTAACCTTCCCTGAGAGAAAACACCTTATATTGCGGGAGCCACATATATTATAGATTATATTAGTCTATACGGAAACACGCAAGCTTGACAACGGGATTAAGATCGTCCATCCTATGCCATTCCAGCATTAGAACCTAACAAGCCCGGGAAACATTTTCCTCCGAAGGAACTATTGATGTAAATACGAGCACAAATGAGCTTGAAATGGCACATCGATATACATTACAATGGCAGACGTCTTAAAACAATCATTCTTGTAGCGGAACCTCAGAATTTTAGGTAAACCACTTACTCCTATTTCCTAGTGATTAATCCATCTAAACTTATACAGTTTAACCTATCGCCAGGTCGACGATTCAGGTTTCAAAGATATAGAAATTGGGGGACTCACCCATAGGGTGTCAAATTCGCAATTTAATGGCTGCCGACATGGAGATACTGAACACTAAGGCAAGCGCCTGCGTCTCGTGTAAAATTTCATGGCTAACTTATCTATTGCGATCAAAGAATTTATTGTTCAGTTGACATCAATATTGTAATTGCCTGGCACAAATGAAACGTTGGTTCATTAATGTGATTATTATTTTGATGCAATACAGATACTGAGTTTAACGACGGTACTAACTAGAACTCGGACCCGGACCGGTCGACCGGGCTGAAATTGAAAAATATAGCTCATAAGGGTCTCAGTAAAGTTAACTTTTCGATCGATAATTATCTGAAACATTAGAAAACATAGAACATTTTTTCAGAATTTTTAACGATTTCTTAAGGGGAAAAATTGCTGTAAGGTCTTGAGATCCAGGATCAGCGTATTTGGGTAGCAGAAAGAGTGTATTTTCCATCGTCCGGTGTCTGCCCGACCCAACATGAATCTTTTTATAAGTGAATCAACAAAAATTAATTAAAAACTTGCAAAGTTTTCTGGATGTCCCAGCCAAATCTCAATCGATTAGATCGATCGAAAAATCATCATTTCTAAGCCCCTAATGAGCTGGTTGGACAAAATTTTCCTAGGTAAATTTTGAAACTTTGTTATGCAAATTTAAAGTTTTCTCGAAGTTTCAGTGCCTCTTGCTGTCTCTTATACACATCTAGATGTGTATAAGAGACAGGAGTAGGCTTGCATGGCTATTTATNGGTTTATAGCCGTGGCCCCTGGTGTTGGTTCTTGTTTCAAATTCTAGTAATCCTTCTGGGACCTTGTATAAAACGTAGGTATACATGTATACTTCAAAAAATTAGATCAGTACTCACTGCAGTGGGTGACAGAGAGCGCATTTTCTCGTCCGTCCGTAAGTGAAGTCACGGACGGACAGACATGACGAGCACAATAGCGCCTTTTTTCCATAAATGAGAAAATGCGGTCATGAGGTCACCACACAGACGTCGATAACAGAGGCTTGGATGCTTCATAATCTTTAATCTTTCTTCATAAGACTTGCCTTTCAATCCCGGGATTATCCGTGTTGCGCGTTTTTGAACGCACTCGACTGAATTTTTGTCCGCTTTTAGTTTTGGTGACCACACGACGTTTCCAAACTCTAGGTTCGGGCGCACTACAGCAACAAACAACTGCTTCATCGCTTCTGCATCTAGGAACTCGAAAGAGCGTCTGATCAGTCCAAGTCGTTTATTGGCTTTATTAACTTGCCCTTCAATATGCTTAGAAATTTTTAGCTCATTGTCGACATTAACTCCCAAATCTTTTTCCACTGTCGACTTCGACATCATCACTCTGTCGTTGCAGTCGTGTCTTCTCATACTGTAATCTTGCTGTTCATTATTCTTGCCAAGGCGGATTACTTTGCCTTTGTCAGCATTAAAACGCAACTGACACTTATCAACCCAGTCAACTAGCCTGTCAACCTCACGACACAAATGATATAAAAAGCATCTGAAAGAATTTATCTCCAGAATGTAAAAATAATTATTGAGTAGATCGCCTGTTTGGTGTTTACGTCACGTGTTCTTTCCGAGGAAAATGTTTCATACCGCCCAATGACCTCATCAACTAATGGCTTTTGGATGACAGATCAGAACTGGCATTTACAATATCTGAAATTTAATTTAATATATAATGGAATTTAATGCAATAACTGTTTCAGCGTTTATTAGGCCGTAGGCCTGTCGCCGATTCTCACACATCACAGAACTCTCACAGCTTGTTGCGGTCTCGAACTCGCAACTAGCAGCCTCAATTTTGCTTTGCCTAACCGCCCGGCCTCCTCACCGAGTCTGACCAGAAACTGTGGCAGGTTGCTGGAATCAAACCCACGCCTCTCTGCTCCAATCCCGGGACTGTAACCTCTGGACCACCCTGCACACTCTGCCCGCCATGAACCACTAGACCCACTCTGCCCGTCATGAACCACTAGACCCACTCTGCACCGCCATGAAACACTAGACCCACTCTGCAACGCCATGAGCCGCTAGACCCACTCTGCACCGCTATGGGCGGCGTGCCACAAGGAAGCATTCTAGGGCCTGTTTTATTCGTTGCGTTTATAAACGATCTGCCAGAAGCTGCGTCTAGCGTGTGCTCGATGTATGATGACGACACAAAAATTTATAATACAGTGATGAATACGTCGCAAAAAGTACAGTTACAAGGTGATCTTTACAGGCTGGTTGACTGGGCTGATAAGTGGCAGCTGCGTTTTAAGTCACGAAAAATTCAAGAATCGGCAACAGGCCATGGGCCTATTTCTTCAGTGCCGACACTTCTATTCTATTCACTATTCTATTCTAACACAGACAAACAACAATGAGATTAACATTTACCAGGCGACCAATGACCGTCCAGACCAGCGGACCATCAAGTACACTTAGCAGTTGCTCAGCCGGTTTGCTTGAAAATTGCGAAAACTCGGATTAGCTACTACGTGCAAAGGGCATGGGCTCAGATCTGAAGCAGCAGTAAAGTTCCAATAAAAACCTAAGAAGAAAGCTCAGATTGTACGCTATTCAGGCTCACTACAATAAGCACTAGTTAACAATGTTTTTGTCGAAAAAAGTCGTTATTCCTCTCCAATGTAGAGTAAGTTGTGTTCCAAAGTTATTAGAATAGAATAAAAATTTTAGCAAATACCTAGCTTTGAAGCAATAGGCCCATGGCCTGTTGCTGAAACCATTTTATTGAGAAACAATGTGTTTTTTATGTTGGTTTTTCCTTAGTAAGTTAATTTCCCAGTCTTTCAATTTTCCCTAATCTCTCACTCTTGTATTATTACTATAATTAGGTACTATTAGTTTTTAAAGTAAAACCATATCAATAATTTTTCCACATGCCATCACATAGTATACTAATTTCTACCTTTAATTTCACTGTTCATTGCTGAGTGCAGGGTCCAGAAGGTGGAAGCAGCGTCGCCAATATATGGGTTTTTAAGCCCAATGCATTGCCAACCTTTTTCAAGATGCATCGCCGGGTAATTTTTAATGAAAAGCCATTTAGGCTACGCTGAGTAATGACCAGGGTGCAGAGGGTGGAATGGTGGATGCAGCGTTGTCAATATAGGCTATGGATGGGCTTTTAAGCCCTAAGCGTTGCCAGGTAATTTGGTATTGTTGCAGATTAACTACATCCAAAAAAAGGGTGTTTTTTTTTTAATTATATGTTTTTTGGGGTGTAGATTACGAATCTGAAATCCATTTTTGGCGGTCGGCATCGGAAAACCGATTTTTTTCAATAATACCGATCACACGTAGCGCACGACATCTTGAATGAAACTTACCNGATCTTCTGAAGGCGTAAATTTTGCTACTGAAGCGTTGCCAAAGATCTTGCAATATTCATCCACTCTCTGCACAGTGGCCCATCAGCAAGCATGAAAAACATCTACCTTTAGGGCCACGAAAAGAGAATTCCTGCCATTTCCAGAACTGTGAGATTCCTGCCAGATGAATTACCTCCTATCTAATTGTTAACAAAAGTGCACAATCAAGCCACAATTATTAAAATTTGTATTAAAAATTCGTCACGTTGGAGCCCCCAAGATTTCAGAAATAAGTAGGAAAATTCTTATCCTGCCCATCAGCAATTCAGCACTTTTGTTAAGAATTTGATGGGAGGTAATTCATCCAACTGAAATTTTGCATTTCCAAAAATGGTCAGAAATCTTAATTTGCAGCTCAGAAAGTATGTGTATAATGTATTCATTGGCTGTTGCTGCTGAAATCTTGTTGCTTCAAAGTCCAAAGTGACATTTTTTTGACAAGTTTGGAATTTCTGGAATGGCAGCTTTTTAATTATTAGCACTAATCATGAACATGCAATTTTATGTACAAATATGTAGGAAATAATTTATTAAGCAATTTAAGCCACAGCTTCATTTTTATCCCTTAATTATAAATGGAAATTTGTAACATACCATCAAATGGGGGCTATAAGGGACAGTTTTGAGCATTTTTTTGGTAATAACTTTTTAACATGGAACATTTCATAAACAAATTTTGGCTCATTTTAAAGCTCTTTGCAAGGGCTATTAAATGGCATCTCTAAAAGAATTCCATATGCTATTTGTAAGGTGCCAGACGCAAAATAAAAGCCTCCTGAATTAACCCTGGAAATAGGGTAATAAGAGACACCTGAAATAAAACTCAATTTTAAAACGTTTGAAGCATGTGGAGTGTAGTACTCTGCTACTCATCCATTACTAACAGTACTCTGAAGTCCTCCTCTTCCTTTGTAGATGATGGAGATGATGTAGATGTAGAATAAATGACATTTTCTGAGATTTAGTTTGCCCGTCTCAATTTACCCGGCGCCGTCCCTTAATACCTGTTTGATGGTATGTGTCCTGGGTGTCTATTTTAATTATAATACACATGCAGTGGACCTTGTGACAGAATTAGTCTAAGCTTTAGATTTATACATCAAGTTTGACAAACCAGACTAAGGAAAGTACGGATTTGTTGTCATTATGTAATTAACAAGAAAATTTTCTTAATTGATAATTTGATAGTCACCATCATTTGTGATTTAATATAAAATTTTATTCCTCCAAACTTTTGACATACCAGTATATAGGTACTGCAGAAAAGAATTTTTCACTACCATTGGTCTCGATGCTCTGCTGACATTGTAGAAATTTGAAGTTTTCAATATAACTATATAATATTTGTTAAAAAGATTATAATATTTCTATGAAATTTACTGCTTGTCCTGACAAGAGTATTTTTCCAGATCTTGAAATGCATCGGCCAGGCTGGGTTCTCCACAAGCTCCAGGAGAGACGTCAAGTTCTATGAAGATGCTGAGGAGGCCGTCAAGGATATCCCCGATGGCTCCAAGCTCCTTGTTGGAGGTACTCTACTAACTT